ATTAATTTTCCTAACGTTTGCTTTTATGAGCACTTCACCGTATATAAGATGATTTCTAATTATAATAATCCCCCAAATTTGCTCATGCAATTTCACTCTCAATGATGTGGAATTAGAGGTGCTAAATATAAGAGAGAGAAGGGTGTGAAATCGCTTCACATGAAGGGTGGGTCATGTCATTGAGAGTGAAATTAGGAGGGCAAAATTAAGGAGATGTAACACCATTCATCCAATTATTTTATATTTTAGTCAATACCATCAATTTTATTGAGTATTTTATTAATACAAGAGGTATGTGTCATTTTTTTTTAATTTGAAAAATTACATATTATGTATATTTTTTGAAAAATTCAAAAATATTTAGTAGATTAATTGATGATTCTTGTAAAATAATTTTTTGACCATCTTTATAAAAGAAATTATATTCAATCTCCATTGCACTGTTTCTTGCACACTATTTGAAGAAAAATTTAGATAAATGCATACAGGTGCTAGAAAAAGAGGTTGTAGCTCACAATTCATGATATGGTGGAAGTTGTTTTTTTATTGTGATTGTCAAAAAATTTGTAGAATTCATCAATAAAATCATTAAAAAAATTCAATTAATTGGATATTGATAATTATATAATTGAATATTAATTATGTGAAAAAAATGTCTATTATCAAATTTATACTGATTAGTTAATTTTAAAAAAATAAATATCATCTGATCATGTGACTATGAATGCTCAATTAATTTAATTTTTTTATTAATGATATGATAAACAAAGTCTTATAAGACTAACTATTTACATCACAATTAACTTCCCAAACAGAGCTCTTATTGACCTTTTACTGTAACAATTATGTGGTTGTTTCTCGTTTTGCTCTATTTGGGAGTGCCTAATGTATTTTCCCATAATCCCTCAAAGTGGTTGACATGAGCACCTACTGTTTGTTCAACCAACCAAAAGCCAACATGTGTTTGCACCAGATGCTACCATTTATTCGGACCACCGTTTCATAGAAGAATAATGGAAGCAATATTTTTTGGAAGCTACAAATCCATTTCTCACTCAACAAAAAAGAATTTTCGAGTAAGCCTTTGCCTTGTTAAAATTTTTAAATTGCTTTCTATTTGATTTTATGTATTCTGATTTGAATGGGAAGCTAATGTATTTCGTTTTCTTTCGTTT